GCGTGCGAGAGAGATTAATGCTGGTGGGCGGGCGAGAAACTTTAAGGTTGGTGGGCGTGCGAGAGAGATTAAAGCAGGTGGGTAGGCGAGAAAGATTATGGTGGGTGAGTGTGGGTGGGCGTAGGTGGGTGTGGGTGGGCGTGGGTGGGTGAGCGAGAAAGAATACAGTGGATTGGGCGCAAAAACACACACACACACACACAAAAAGCAACAAAACATGGTGGGTGGGCAGGAGAGATTAGATTAGCGTGGGCTTGCTAAGTCAGGGTGCGATCAGTGAATGGTGAGGGTGGTGACCGGAAAAGGGGGGAGGGGAGGGGGGGAGGGGGGGAGAGACTTCATCGGTCGGCTGAATAATCAAAACATCCTAATGACGTTTATTAGATACTTAATGAGTTGGTTACTCTATAAATATACTTGTGTCATTAATGAACAGTCACTACACACACATACACACACACACATATATATACATATTTCATTATTATTGTTATCATTATTGTTATTATTATTATTATTATTATTATTATTATCATTATTATTATTATTATTATTATTATTATTATTATTATTATTATCATTATTATTATTATTATTATTATTATCATCATCATTATAATTATTATTATTACTATTATCATTATTATTACTATTATTATCTTTAATGGGCTTCTCGGTTCATTTGCGAGGAACTTTGTCCATCAATCTAATTATGTTTTCATTATAATCAACCAAATAAAGGATCGTTTTAGTATAATTAACCGGCAAACGATTCTGGCGCTATTAATTCCGGTGCAATTTGATTAGGAAAATGACTAAGATACGATTAATAAAATAAATTATTTCCATTTAGTTAATAGAATAAATTGTTTATAAGCAAGTAATAAGAGCAATTAAGATAAATAGTTTCGATGTAATTAATATTATAATTGGTTTCCACGTAATGAAGAGGATAATTTTGATGTTATTAATAGCAGGAAATTAACAAGGAAAAGCAGGAGAGATAATTGCGAGTTAATTATTAAGGTAAATGGCTTGAAGATAATTAATTAGATGAAAGATTTTGATGTAAATGATTAGATAGAATAAATGGGAGAATTAAATGGTTAAATGATAGGAAGAAAAAAAAGAAAAAGAAAAAAAGAAAACGAAAAAGAAAAATAGGAAAGAAGAGAAAATGAAAGAAGGAAAGAAAAAAAGGAGAACAAAGAAAAGAAAAGAAAAAAAAGAAAAGAAAGAAAAAAGAAAGGAAGAAAATAAAGAAAAGAGAAAGAAAGAACGAAAATAAAGAGAAAATAAAGAAAGAAAGAAGAAAGAAAAGAAGAAAGGAAGAAAAAAAGAAAGAAAGAAAGAAAGAAAGAAAAAGAAAAAAGAAGAAAAGAAAGAAAGAAAGAAAAAGAAAAAAAATATATACTCGATCATAAAATACATATTTTAATCCTAATTTACCTCCAAATATCAATAAATAAACAAACAAATAAATAAATAAATAAATAAATAAATAATAAATATAAAAGGAAAAAAAGTTTTCAGTGATTCTACCAGATTTTCGGAATAAACAAGAATGTAATAACAGAGAAAAAATAAAAGTTCAATAAATGCAAGAGGTAAGATGAATAGTTGTGAGGTTTCTGTTTGCTTGTTTTCGAAGTTCTTGGAAGAGGAGTGGTGGGGGTGGGGGGTGGGGGTGGGGTTTGGCGAGAGCGGGGGTGGGGGAGAACACGTTTGTTATGAGTCGCATGATATTCGATGACGTCACGGAATATGTATGAACTGTCTGTTTGTGTGTTTGTGTGTGTGTGTGTGTGTGTGTGTGTGTGTGTGTGTGTGTGTGTATGTGCATGTGTGTGTGTGTGTGTCACCTCTCTCTTTCTGTCTTTCTTTCACTCTCTCTTCCTTTCTCCGTCTATCTATCCCTTTATCCCTCCTGCCTCATTTTTTTTCTCTCTCTCTCTATCTATCTTTTATTCTCTCTTTTCCCTCCTTTCTTTCTCTTTCTATCTGTTCTTTTACCCCCCTCCTACTCTCTCTCTCCCTCACCCAACGTTCCTCCTTCTCTCTGTCTCTCCCCCCCCAAACTTCCCTCTATCTCTCACTCTTCCTCCCCCCCTCTCCCCCTCTCTCTCCCTCTCCTTCCCCCTCTCCCTACTCCTCTCTTCCCCTCCTCCCTCTCCTCCTCCTCCCTCTCTCCCCCTCTCCCTACTCCCTCCCCTCCCTCCCTCCTCCTCCCTACTCCCTCCCATTCCCCCTCCTCCCTCCTTCCCCCTCCTCCCTCCTTCCCCCTCCCCTCCCTCCTTCCCCCTCCTCTTCCTCTCTCTCACACCCTACCCCCCCTCACCCCACCCCCCCTACAAACACCCCAACAGGAAACACGCCCAAAGGCCCAAGATCGTCCTACCTTCTGGTGCCTGACGTGGGAGACAGAGTAACGCGTCTCCGAGGAGTAGACTTGGCCGCCCGCCGTCAGGAGGTGGTCCTCGTCGCGCTTGAGCCAAGACACCTGCGGGGGAGGAGGGGGTCAGAGGTCAGAGGTCACGAGGAGGGGATATATATATATATATAGAAAGAGAGAGAGAGAGAGAGAATGAAAGAGAGAGAGAGAGAGAGAGAGAGAGAGAGAGAGAGAGAGAGAAAGAAAGAGAGAGAGAGAGAGAGAGAGAGAGAGAGAGAGAGAGAGAGAGAGTAAGAAAAGAGAGAGATAGAGAGAATGAGAGACAGAGACAGAGGGAGACAGAGAGAGAGAAAGAAAGAAAGAAAGAGAGAGAGAGAGAGAGAGAGAGAGAGAGAGAGAGAGAGAGAGAGAGAGAGAGAGAGAGAGAGAGAGAGAGAGAGAGAGAGAGAGAGAGAGAGAGAAGTTATATCGTAGTCACCCCTGAAATATAGTTTTATCATGGTTTCCCTAAAAATCACCAAGTCACGAATTTCTGGTTTACTCTTATTTCTTTCTCGTACCATAAATTCTATTGATATGTGTACTTTGTTAGATATATTATCTTTTTATGTTTGACTGATAAATGTTTATTTATTTACATAGTTATATTGTCAAAAATAGTCCTCAGTCCATTGTACATAAATTTTCTCAGGAAAATTAGACACTAGATCGGGACTAATATTTACATCTTAATATCGTACAAACATCCTCTCCAGTCTTGTCTTCTGCTGACGTTAAGCCTTAACGGACTAACCAAGGCTGTATATACAATTTGGCTACTCTGAAATCAGCACGGCCTTAACGGACTAAATACGGCGGTAAAAATACTGTTTGGCCGAGAGACAGTCTGGGCTTTAAGGAACTTATACCGCCGTCATCCACGTCTCTATAACAACAATCGCATGATTAGTGATAAACAACTAGACTACAGACACATATATGTATATATATTTATGCATATACATATGTATATATATGTATTTATATACATAAACATATGTATATATGAATGATGAAAACATTCTACCGTGTTGATACTATGGTAGAAAAACCCACAATGTAAAAATCTAGTTTTTACATTGTGGGTTTTTCTACCATATGTATAAATATGTATATATGTACATATATGTTTATGTACAAAGATATACATACATATACATATATATGTGTACATATATTTATTTAATTTACACACATACACACACTCATGCACACACGCACACACGCAAGTACGTATATATTCATTTAAATTATATTCTGTTTTTTACAAGAGCTTCTTAAAAGAACTGCTGAAAGGTACTGTCGCGCTTTGCTCATCTAACTCCAAAAATAATGTTATCGTTCACTTAAAAATACCATTATTAGTTTTATATAGTAATTAGTAAAGTTACGGGCGCAAAACTTCAAGGGCACGGAAAGCGAGGTACATTTTTTTTTTCTTAAAAAAAAAAAAAAAAAAAAAAATCCGGTTTTGTTTTCTTGAGTTGTCTAGAGAGAGAGAGAGAGAGAGAGAGAGAGAGATTAAGGGAGAAATAGAGAGAGAAATAGAGAGAGAGAGAGAGAGAGAGAGAGAGAGAGAGAGAGAGAGAGAGAGAGAGAGAGAGAGAGAGAGAAGAGAGAGAGAGAGATTAAAAGAGAAAGAGAGAGAGAGAGAGAGAGAGATTAAGGGAGAAATAGAGAGAGAAATAGAGAGAGAGAGAGAGAGAGAGAGAGAGAGAGAGAGAGAGAGAGAGAGAGAGAGAGAGAGAGATTAAAAGAGAAAGAGAGAGAGAGAGAGAGAGAGATTAAGGGAGAAATAGAGAGAGAAATAGAGAGAGAGAGAGAGAGAGAGAGAGAGAGAGAGAGAGAGAGAGAGAGAGATTAAAAGAGAAAGAGAGAGAGAGAGAGAGAGAGAGAGAGAGATTAAAAGAGAAAGAGAGAGAGAGGGAGATTAAGATTAAGTGATGAAGAAAGAGATTAAGAGATTAAGAGAGAGATTAAAAGAGAAAGAGAGATTAAGAGAGAGAGAGATTAAAAGAGAAAGATTAAGAGAGAAATATTGAGAGACAGATTAAGAGAGAAAGAGGAAAGATGAAGAGAGAGAAAGAGAGGGAGTTTAAAAGAGAGAGAGATTAAAAGAGAAAGAGAAATTAAGAGAGATTATGATTAAGAGAGATTAAGAGAGAGAGAGAGAGATTCAGACAGAAATATTGAGAGACAGATTAAAAGAGCAAGAGGAGATTAAAAGAGAGAGCGATTGAGAGAGATAAAGAGAGAGAGAGATTAAACGAGAAAGAGAGATTAAGAGAAATTATGATTAAGAAATTAAGAGAGAGAGATTTAGAGAGAAATATTGAGAGACAGATTAAGAGAGAAAGAGGAAAGATTAAGAGAGAAAGAGAGGGAGATTAAAAGAGAGAGAGATTGAGAGAGAAAAAGAGATTAAGAGAGAGGGAGATTAAAAGAGAGATGAAGAGAGAAAGATTAAGAGAGAGAAAGAGAGCAAGAGAGAGAAAGAGAGCAAGAGAGAGTGAGAGAAAGAGTTAGAGAGATTAAAAGAGAGAAAGAGTGAGAGATAAAAAGAAAGAGAAAGAGAGATACACAAGGAGAGAGTGAGAGAAATAGAGAGTGAGAGAGAGAGAGAGAGAGAGAGAGAGAGAGAGAGAGAGAGAGAGAGAGAGAGAAATAGAGAGAGAGAGAGAGTAGAGCGGGGGAAACAGATAGGGACAAAACGAAAGATACACAAAGAGGCAGATAGACAAAGAAACAAAAGAAAAAAAAGAAAACAAGACAGAGAAGCAAAATAGCAAAACAGACAGAAAGAAAAAGAAAGACAGAGAAGGAGAAAAGACAGAAACAATGACAGAGACAGAGACCAACAAAAAGAAAAAGAAAAAGCAAGAGAGACAGAAATTAAAAGAGAGTAAAAGAAAGAAGAAGAAAGAGAGACAGAGACACAGGGATTAAGGGTAAGAAAAAGAAAAAAGAGACAGATTAAGAGACGAAAAGATAAAGAAAAGGAAAGAGAGAGAGACAGAGATTAAGAGAAAGACAAAGAAAACGAGAGAAACAACAGATTAAGAGACAGAAAGGGATAGAAAAAATAGACAAAGAAATAAAGACGCAGAGACAAAGAACAAGAATGAAAAAAAGGTAGAAGGAAAGACAAAGAGAGAGAGAGATAGAAAGAGACGAAAGACGAAGATAGAATCAGAAAAAGAATGGAAGAGGAAAACCCAAGGAATAAATTTGTTACTATGATGACCTTTGAAAAAAAAGCGAAAACAGATAAAGGGAATGAAAATAAAGTGAAAAAATAAATGTAATATAAATAAAGATAATGATAAATGAGAATAAATATATGGAATAGAAATAAATTAAAAAATAAATAGAAATAATGCAATGGAAAATAGCAAAGAAAAATGGTAAAGAAATAAAATGGATATATAATGTAATATAAATAAAGATAATGATAAAAAAAAAAAAAAATAGAATGAAAACAAATTAAGAAAACAAATAAACAAACAAACAAAAACAAACGAAGAAACAAACAAACGAAAAAAGAAAGAAAGAAACAAACAAACGAAGAAACAAAAACAAAAACAAACAAATCAATTAATTAATAAAAAAAGAAACAAGCAAAGAAACGAACATACAAAAAAAGAAACAAACAAAGAGAACTGTAGTGTGTCAAATGGATAATAAATGAACAGAAAAAATGGTGAATAAATGAATGAATGGGAATTGATAAATAAAAGAATGAATAAATTAGTACTTAAGTAAAAGAAAAAAAATAATGAAAAGATAAGAAAATCTATAGATGAAATGGAAGTAAAAAAGAAAAGAAAAGAAAAAATAACTGAAAAAATAAGTGAATAGATAAAAAAGATAAGTAACTGAACGCAAAGTTAAAGAAATAAAGGAAAGGAAGACATAAGAAAGAAAATGAGAGATTAACGATGAAAATATAAGATGAAAATATAAGATGTGATTGAACATCACTCCATCTGTCACTTTCCTTCAACCGGACTTCATCTCCCCTCCCCCCCCTTCCCCTGCCCTCACCTCCTCCCCTTCCCCTGCTCTTCCCTCCCCCCCATCCCCCACCCCTCCCCTCCCTTGCCCTCACCTCCTCCCCCTCCCCTTCCCTACCCTCACCTCCCCCTCTCCCCATGCAATCCCACTTACCTCCTCCTCCCCCCCCACCCTATTCCCTATCCATAATTGCACCCAATCCCCTCCCCCTCCCCCCATCCTAACTCACTCTCTTCCTTAACCCTCCCCCTCCCCCCCAAACGCCCCCTCATTCGTTCCCATCAATTTTCTTCTTCTCTGATCGTCCGCGTCTCCCCCACCACCTATCCTCCCCCCCCTCCCTCATTTCACCCTTCATCCGTCTTCCTCTCCTCCCCCCTCCCCATACTCTTCTCCCCCCCCCCCTTATCGTTCACCTACACCTATCCATCAACCCCTCTCCCCCCCCCCTTTCACCCACTCGCATCCACTCTTCTCCCCCATCCTATCCCCACTCTCTCAACCCCCTCCCCCTTCTATCCCCACTCTTTCAACCCCCTCCCTTTCGCCCCCCTCCCCGCTCCCCCCCTCTCCCTCTCTCACCCCAACCCCATCAAGCCTTTCATCCACCCACATCCACTTTCTTCCCCCCCCCCCCCTCCCTCTCCCCCTTCTCACCCTCTCCCTCTCTCCCCCTTCCCACCCACGCTCCCCCAACACACCCTCTCCCTATCTCCCCTCCCCCTCCCCTACTCTCCCCCACTCCTACCTCCCCCTACCCACCCTCCAACACTCTCCCCCCACCCCCACCTCCCCTACCTCCCCCCACCCACCCACTCCCTTTCTCCCTCTACCCCACTCACACCCCCCCCACCCTCTCCCTCTCTCCCCCTCCCCCATCTCCCCCCACACACCCTCTCCCTTCCCCTCACCTTCCCCCACTCTCCCCCCACCCACCCTCTCCCTCTCCCCTCCCCCCCACCCTTCCCCACTCTCCCCCCTCCCCCCCTCTCTCTCCCTTTCTCCCCCCCTCCCCCCATCCCCCTTTCCCCACTCCCCCCCTCCCCCCCCCCCAC